GTGCCCGCAGGCACAGGGTTGGCTGTGCTGGCTGGGAAACCTCTGCTCCCAGAAGGACCCTGAGCAAGGTCATGTAGCCATGGTGTTTTCTGGAAAATCCTTTCTTTAGGGTTTTTCCTCCTGAGAAGCTGAAAGGCCTCAGGAACAAAATGTAAAATATTATTATCTGCTGCTGTGGGATGCAACGGGTGCATCTGTGATTGGTCTCATGGGGTTGTTTCTAATTGATGGCCAATCACAGTCAGCTGGCTCAGACAGAGAGCCGAGCCACAAACCTTTGTTATTCATTCCTTTCTATTCTTAGCCAGCCTTCTGATGAAATCCTTTCTTCTATTCTTTTAGTATAGTTTTAATATAATATATATCATAAAATAATCAATCAGTCTTCTGAAACATGGAGTCAGATCCTCATCTCTTCCCTCATCCTGGGACCCCTGTGAGCACTGTCACAATGTCATACAGCACAGTCTCCCCACCTTTGGGGACCTGGCCAGAGCACAGAGCCCTGAAGCTCTCAGGCTCTCTAACCTGACATGCACCTCACAAACAGAGGCAAAACCCCTGCAGAGCTTTCAGTTTGAGCTGGGAAACACTCATCCAGCAGCTGTGGTAATATGAATGGATAAAGCAGTAGGGCCTGAGCACAGGGAGATAAGTCCAAACTCCAGCCTGGTTGTTATATTTAATAACACAGGACAAAGATCTTCTCCCTTCTGCCTCTGCTGTGCTTTGGCAGAAAATGCAGTTGTAAAGCAGACAGAAATTATTACAGTTAATCTCTGTTTATCCTTTTCTTGGGTGTACTGGTTATATCAGTAGGTCTCTGAGGTGTGAAATATTCACGGGCATTTGGTTAATGAGTTGTGTCTCGTTGCTGTTCATTCATGGAACTTGCTCTTTTATCGTGTTTGCTTCGCTTAACAACAAATTTTGCTTTTCGTGTGTTTGATAAATCTTCACCAAATTATTTCTGATTGTGTCCATTAATCTTCAGTCACATTCGACAAAAATAAATTGCTCTGATCTTTCTAAGTTACCAGTAATAATTAGATTTTTTTAAGCACATAAAAGTTTTGGGAGACCAGCAGATGTTAAAATCTCAGTGTTGGCACTGCTGAGGGCCCTCGAGTGCTGTGTCCAGTTCTGGGTCCCTCATGGCAAAAGGACATTGAGGGGCTGGAGTGTGGTTGGACCCAGTGATGCTGGAGTCTTTTCCAGCCCCAGGGATTCAGTGGTTAAGGCTGATCAGGCTGTGTCCTGTGTATATCAGAATTCCAAGGACACTGAGGGGCTGGAGCGTGGTTGGACTCAGTGATGCTGGAGTCTTTTCCAGCCCCAGGGATTCAGTGGTTAAGGCTGACCAGGCTGTTTCCTGTGTATATCAGAATTCCAAGCATGCCCCACAGGTTTGGGCCCCTCTGAGGCAAACTCCCAGTAAGCAGAGCTGCCAGCTGTCTCCCTCTCTGGAATGCCACTTAAATGGTTGCTGAAGAGGTGTGGAGCTCCCTGCTGCAAAGGGTTAAAAGTGTCCACGGAGCCCCTCTGTTCCTGCCATGCATCCAAGCTGTCATTTCCCCGGGGAGCATGCCCCCGTAATGTGCAGTAATGCCTTTCCATTGTGAAATACCCAGCTTTTAATGTGCTGCTGTTTAAGTTCTGCTTTGACTTTTCCCTCAGGAAGAAGGCGAAAATTTTTCATTACAATATAGACAGTGCACTACACTTTGAATACAAATTTATCCATGTACAGAGTAATTTTTCTTGTGATTGTCTCTACCCTAGAGAAGTGTCTTTAATGAATTACATACAAATTGTGTAATTTAAGAAGTTAATTTGGTTTTCTGGTAACACAGGACTAAAAACAGCCCTTCTAGAAAGAGATGATTTCTCATCGGGGACCAGCAGCAGGAGCACTAAATTGATCCATGGTGGAGTGAGGTATCTCCAGAAGGCCATCATGAGGTTGGATTTCGAGCAGGTAATTTTGTGTGCTGGTTGTTTGGCAAGAATTGCTGGGAGACATTTCACTGTCCCAGTTAGAGCTGAGTCTCCTTTGGAGCTTTCCAGTGCTGGGTTCAGGCGTTGTGTTCCACAGCCACTGTGCATGGGAAGTGTCTGCTCTGGGGGAGCAAAACCCTTGCAGGCTGTGGGTTTTGGGAAAGGCAGGCAGAGACAGGGCTGATCTCAGAACCAAAACACCTTGAAATAAAACAAAATTAAGAGAGACACGCAATGTCATGAACTGGAAGGAGTGAGTGGCTGTCCTGTTCTGGAATGGGGAGAGAAAAGATGGTAAATGAGTGATTTAATTTGGAATGGGGGAAGAATATTGTAAATGAGCGACTTATTTTGGAATAAGGGAATAAAAGGTGGTAAATGAGTGATTTATTTTGGCATGGGGAAAGAAAATATGGTAAATGAGTGAGAGTTTATAGATGCTTTTGTGCATTCTTGTGTGGGTGGAAGCCTGATATTCCTGTTTTGAGGACTCACATTGTCTTTCCATTGGAGCCTCTCAAAATATGTTTTAGTGGTTGAAATGCTGCTGCAGGAGAGGTGACTTTTCAGGGGAAACACCTGGCTGGTGTTTGGCAGTCCAGGATGGTGAGGGAGGGCTGGAGGAGGGTGGGTGCTGTGGCACTGACCCTGGCTGGGTTTTGCAGTGCAGGGGTAGTGATGGAGGGCTGGAGGAGGGTGGCACTGACCCTGGCTGCTGTTTTGCAGTACAGGATGGTGAAGGAGGCCCTGGAGGAGCGTGCACACCTGCTGCAGAGCGCGCCCCACCTCTCAGGTGCGCTGCCCATCATGCTGCCCATCTACAAGTAAGCTCTGCTGTGCCTTCTCTCCTTTACCTTGGCTTCTCACAGGAAAACCCTGGCCTGGGAGGGTTTCTTAAAGCTGTCCTGGGGGAAGTTACTGGGCTGCAGAAGCACAAAGTTCACTTGTGCCCAGCCAGCAGTCGCTGATTTGGGGGGCACATCCTGGGGTGCAGCCCTTCCAGCCCCCCAGCAGGGACAGCTGCAAAGAGCTCTCATTGCCAGGGTGTATTTGCTATTCTTTCAGTGCATCCTTGTCCCCCCAATGTTCCCAGCACGGTGCTGTTCAGTCCCTGTGGGCACAGAACAGATTCCTCCTCCTCTGAGGAAGGCACTCAGTGCTTTGGGTTGGGTTTTCAGCCTGCAAGAGCAGTTACTCACTGGAACAGGCTACTCAGAGCAGGGAGGTTTTGCTGAAGGAACTTAATTTTATTAAGATCACTGCTGTTTTCATTATTCCTGTCTTAGTTTGAGGGTTCTTGTAAGAGCTGGAGCTTGAGTAGGTCAGTGGCTGCCTGCATTTATTGTGGTCCTGTTTGTGCAGGAGGCCTTAGACCCTGCCTTGGGGGAATCCTCTCAGCTTGCACAGTTCCAGTATCTCACCCAGAGGCACAACAGCCCCGTTTAGATCCTGATTTTAGAGCAAATAAATCCTTGAATGTGCTTGACTCACCGCAGGGAGTAACTCATTTGAAAGCAGTGGCAAACAACACCTAAGTCTGCAGTATTTACATTGTCTTGTCACCACGAGCTTGTAACGCTGAACAAGGTGGAACTGCTGTAAGAACACTGTGTGTTACTCACCGTGTGCAGTAACAGAGTGTGTAAATGCTTCATTTGTACCTTGTCTCACCTGGCGGTGCTGTTTCCCCCCAGGTGGTGGCAGCTGCCCTACTACTGGATTGGGATCAAGCTGTATGACCTGGTGGCAGGCCGGCAGTGCCTGAAGAGCAGCTACGTCCTGACCAAGAGCCGCGCCCTGGAGCTGTTCCCCATGCTGCGCCGGGACAAGCTGGTGGGAGCCATTGTCTACTACGATGGTGCGTGGCCTGTCTGCTGCTCTGGGCTCTGCCTTTGGGCTTCAAACACCAGTGGGGCCTGGAGATGGTACCCTGGCTCTCTGCAGCTTGATTGTTAGTGTGGGAGAGAAGTCGTGTTTTCTGCGGCAGCTTACTGGGTGTAGGAGAAAATGCAATGGCTGTTCTTGGCTTTCCTTGGGTGTAGAGCAGTGTGAAAGTGTTCTGGTGGAGATGTGGTTCCTGACCTTTTGGCAGCAAAAAGGTCTTCACACAAGGTGGATTATAAGGGAATTCTTTTCCCTTTGTAAAACTGCATTTGGAACAATTCATCAGCTCATCAAAGGGTTCTGGACTGGGACGAGCTCTGGAAACACACTGGATTCCAGTGGGGTTTATGAGGCTTGTGCCTAAAGCTTGTGTTGTTAATTGCAGGTGTCTCAGAGCCCAGCAGCCTAGTGGAAATCAATTAAAAATTCATATATATGTGTGGGAATATGTATGTGCAGATTCTTGTTGAGAGGAGGGCTGGATTTAAAGGATGGACTTGGTGTTTAGTTGATTTTACTACTGATAGAAGCCGCATTTTATCTTGTTTTTAAGGTCTGGAGGAAATGAGAGCAAAATTTGCAAATGTAGCAAAATTTGTTGTTGGATTATGTGGTAGTTTTTGTACCCAGGACCTGCCATACACAGCACACAGAGAGGGAATTCAGGTTTATTTTTTCTGTATCCTGAGCTATTCCTTAGCTTGTTTTAAGGGATCCCAGGAGCCTGCCAGAAGAACGAAGTGGTTCTCTTAACTGTAATTACACTTCTCATAAGAGCACTATAGCTTGAAATCTATTTATAATCTAGTGAAGTTTTTTCTGATTAAATAAATAATTTGGCTGTATCATGGCTATTTACTGCTCCAGCATCCCAAAGATGCATCTTTCAGGATAGCCTTAAAATTGGTTTTCACGTTTCTTACTTGAATAATTGTTTTAAACAATGCTGTAAATCTAAAGATTCAGCATCAAGATGCCAGGTGGGCTTTGATGGCAAGCACAGGCAGGGCAAGGCTCTGAGTGACTGAGAGATGTCCCTGGAGGTTCAGTGCCATCCCAACAGAGGGAAACAAACCCACATTCACTATTGGGAAGGAAGAGTAAAATAGAAAAAAAAAAGGAAAAATCTGCCTTGCTTTATGTGGCTTTCTCTATAAGATACAGATTAGTTATCCTTGGTTTTAGGCAGAATGTAAAGAAATGCTGTTTTGAGTTAAAATTTAAAAAGCTCTCCAAGCTTGTACCTGCTCTCATCCTGTACCAAACCTGTTTCCCTGAAGGGTAAGTTGGGTTTGAAGGACTTGGGGATGAAATCTGTGAGTGGATAATGCACATGTGAGTGTTGTGAGGCTGCACCTAGTGCAGAATGAGCCCTGCCCAGCTGGAGCATTAATTCAGTGGTGAGCAGGCCACGTTTCAGCTCGCTGCTGGCTGTGTCACTCTGCTCTGGGTGGCCCCTGGGGCAGGGGGCTCCCATGGGGCTGGGGCACATGGACTGCTTTGTCCTGATCAATTAACCCGTGTTCTGGCCACGGGAAATGGGCTTTAAGTCACAGCATTTCAGCAAGCTCCCTTTAGGTCTTGTAAATTATTGTACTTGAGTTTTAGTGATGTGCTGTCACACCCTAAATCCAGAGGGATGGAGCACAAAGGGAGAGGGAATGCAGCTGAAAGTAGAGGAAGGGGTGATGAAATTAAATTTGTTTTAGTCTTTTCAGAAGGATTAGTCATAAAATAGAGTATTAAATAATGGCAAAGCAAAATACAAGTCTTAAAGTAGGTGATGTCTTTCTCTTCTCTGTCCATCCCTTCTCTCTCCCCCGAAGGATGAATTGATAAATTGGCCTTTTAAGGCTGGAGTGTCTCAACTGTGAGTGCAGTTAAATGCAGTTTTATCCTGTTTCCTCACTTCCTCTATTCCCTGTCGCTGTAATTGTTGCAAAGGGAGCTGTTAATGGTGGATCCCCAGCTGTGGATCCCCAGCAGAGGGGAAGGGTGCAAAGGCTGCGTGTGCAGGGTGGTGTTGGTGTGCTGCAGCCCTGCCGGGGTCCCTGTGTCTGTGTGGCCCTGTGGGGCTGCTGGCACCTCCAGCCATCCATAATTCATGGGGCCGCTGCCTTCCCCACCGCGCCAGGGTCGTCTTCATTACAGCCTCTAAATTGTTTATACAGGCACAAAGAAATGGTACATCATAAACGTTGCAAGTACCAGCAAGAGCAAATCGCAGCCTTGTCCAGAGGCTATTCTTGCTCTGCCTGAGCATCGGGAAGCCAAAGCATATGTTGGATGTTAGCCGGGGTGTACACAACGTGTCCTATTTATTCAAGGTTTGCTTTGAAGCCACAACTTACAAGTTTGTTTCTTAGGGGGACATGTCAGACTGCATTTAGCATTTGTTGGTATTAGGATACTCCTGAATAGCAAAAAGGCAACATTTTGGGGGGAGAAGGCGGCTGCTATCTGAGCAGGGATCTGTCAGATCCACTTAGGGGCTGCGGGAGAACTGGAGAGGAGGCACAGGGAGAGGCTGGGCTCAGCTCAGGATCTCGGGCAGGATTGTTCCGAAGCACTTTAAATGGGAGAATTAATCTCCATTTAAATTATATAGAGTTCATTATGATAAGAACTAGGAAAACCATTAAAGCAGGGATCCAGCTGGCCAGAGTGTGTCAGTGTAAAGTGTTCAGCAATTCCAAGTGGCACGGTTCTCTTCATGATACATTATTTTTCCGTCTCTAGATGCTTGCAGGCTTCTTTAACATATTTTGCCTTGCAAGAGCCCTTAGGTGTGTAAGGAAAATCTGTGTTCGGAATCAGTCCTGAATTTTAGATTCTAGGGCTCTGCTGACCGTGCTTTCTGAATTTGCTGTTATTTCCTGAAAGAAGAAATTAACATATGTTGTGTCTGGGACTCTCTTGCCACACTGAGGTATTGGATTGTTTAATGTCTTGTTCTACAAATCTCCAGTATGTTTACTGGGATCTAAGTAGTTGTTTTTTGCTTTTTGCATTCTCAGTAGTTTTGCATGCATTCTCTGCTGAAATATTTTAATATGGAGGTTATTTAAAAGTAGAAAAAGCCTTGGCAGAGGATTTCGCTTTCCCTGTTTACAGCAAACCCCCTGAGAAATCCTTCCCAGGCACACGTGCACACACAGACACACACACAAAAATCAATGCAAAAGAGTAGGGCATTCATTAAGCTGTCAAAAATGGAATAAATGCTTTTTTTTATTTGGGCTCTTGTAGCTATTTTTCCTAGGATTTGAGTGTGTCCTGAATTATGAAATGTTATAGCTTTATAATTCATGTTTGACAAATGGATATTTGGAGATGTTGAGCTGTAATAGGGGTATTACAGACAACTCTGTGGCTGTTTTCCTTCCCTGGATATAAAAACTCTGACAGCTTGTCACTGAACAGACTTTCCATAGGTGAATTTAAACATGCAGCTGCTGATATTTCCTGGTGTTTCCAGCCTGGGGCTGGGTGGGAGAGAGAAGCCTTGCAGGCACGCTGACCATGGTGTGGCTGGGAATCACTTGGTGTGTGTGTGTCCATGCCCTGCTGTGTGCCAGGGCTTTCTGCATCTCAGAGCTGCCCATGAAATCCTGCAGGGTGTGGGGCTGGAAGGGGCACAGAGCCCAGGACGGGGCTCTGGAGCATTCTGATGGTGGCACAGAGAGGCAGGACCAGCTCCCAGGGGTGCAGAGAGCTCAGCACAGAGCTCTGGAGCATGGACAGGCAGCCCCAGCTCCCAGGGATGCAGAGAGCCCAGCACAGAGCTCTGGAGCATGCAGGAGCTGGTGGTGATGCTGGTGCTGGCACAGACAGGCATCAGGGATGCACAGACAGCTCCCAGGGGTGCAGATGCAGACAGCCCAGCACAGAGCTCTGGAGCACAGACAGGCAGCCCCAGCTCCCAGGGATGCAGACAGACCAGTACAGAGCTCTGGACCATGCTGGAGCTGGAGCTGGTGGTGATGCTGGTGCTGGTATGGACAAGCAGCCCCAGCTCCCAGGGGTGCAGATGCAGACAGCCCAGCACAGAGCTCTGGAGCACAGACAGGCACCCCCAGCTCCCAGGGGTGCACAGAGCCCAGCACAGAGCTCTGGAGCACAGACAGGCAGCCCCAGCTCCCAGGGGGTGCAGAGAGCCCAGCACAGAGCTCTGGACCATGGACAGGCAGCCCCAGCTCCCAGGGATGCAGATGCAGACAGCCCAGCACAGAGCTCTGGAGCACGGACAGGCAGCCCCAGCTCCCAGGGGGTGCAGAGAGCCCAGCACAGAGCTCTGGACCATGGACAGGCAGCCCCAGCTCCCAGAGCTGCCCAGCTCCCTGGGGCACACGCCGTGCTTCGCCGCTCCGGTCCCGCCGCGCTTTCCCCGCCAGGGCCCTTTTATCATTTTCAGAAGGGATAAAATCAATGGGCTGCACCAGCTGCGTGTTTAACCCAGTTTTGCCTCTGTCGGAGGTGCGGGCGCAGCCGCGTGGCTGCAGGAGGAGCCCTTTGCTCCCGACAGAAGGGCGCTGCCTGCCCGCTGCCCCGGGCGCCTTCCCAAAAGCACCGGATGATAGCTGCGTCTCTGCTGTACCTGTAACAATTTAATCGTGTGAGTCAGCCCAGTCAAGCATCCCCAGCTCATGACTGGGAGACATGAAATTCATTGTCATTATTGTCCCTGTCATTTCGGATCATTATATCCTGCTGCAGAATTTTCCTCACTCCAGTGCTTTCTTACCTCCAGGAAGCAGGGATTATGGCTGAGGTTGGGGTGGGGGCAGGACTGTGAACTACATTTACCTCAGGGGAGCCACAGATTAAATTGGCTTTGCTTTCTGACTTGCTGGATTCGTCTGTTTGTACGCTCTGGGTTTAAGGTTGGAAATGATGAATATTCCGGTGAATTCAGGGCCTCTCTCTTTTCTTTTTTTAATGCTTGTATAAGCAAAGGATGGGGTTTGTGTCCCTTAAGAAGTGAACGGGGAATAATTCTTCAGATCATGTTACCAAAAAGATTTAAGATTCTTTCTGAACAAGACGACGTTACTGTTCATTGTGGCACAAACATCTGCGTGGTCCCC